ATAACGGCGGTGACGAAGGAAATGAGTTTGTCAATGTTTGGGCAGAGGATGGCTCTAGATAACCGCGCATTCTGTGTGCCAAATAAACGATACGCGCCGCAACATAATAGATTATTTGATATGCGATGCGCCAAACTGCGACAATTCGCGTTCCCCAACAACCGCCATTCTTAGTTTATGCCCCATGTGTGCATGAGGTTAGTTTCTCCACCGGCGAGAACTGTAGATTTGCACAGGCTGCCGGCCATCCGAATGAGCCGTCCAGTGGACCAGCCCTTTAAATACCAATGGCTCCGGGGCATAGTTCTAACTCCGGTGTAGCCGTCACAGCCGCCACATTCCAGTAAGATCAGATTTCTTCTTCAGGGTCACTGTCATGGACGACAGACAACAAGGGCGACATTTTGACCCCCTTGGCATTGCCGAATTAGTGAAGGTCTGGATTGTGTTACTCGGCCCTCGTTATTTTTATTAGGCTGATTGTGGCCCTATGAGAGCGCTCGCAACAACACAGCAGAGTGACCGGCCATGATGCTTTTTTTTATTTATTGTAAATATTAATTATTCATTTGTATAATAAATAAAATTATAAGCGGAGAATGAAGGCCGCCATTGCTGACCTCGCCTTAAAGTGTATTCCTAGCCAAAATGTTTTTGTTTACTTTGAGTAGAGTGGGGAAGAGTTAGACCCCCTGTCAAGGTACCGCTGCAGAGATTCACCCCCTGTGTGTCCTGGTGCCCATTTCACAAAGCGTCAATGAGAATGTTAAACAAGAAACCTAAAGGTGATCTCCTATAGCATGCCCATAGTCTCTGACCATCTCGTATAGCATGCCCATAGTCTCTAACCATCTCCTATAGCATGCCCATAGTATCTGGCCATCTCCTATAGCATGCCCATAGTCTCTGACCATCTCCTATACCATGCCAATAGTCTCTGACCATCTCCTATAGGATGCCCATAGTCTCTGACCATCTCCTATACCATGCCAATAGTCTCTGTCCATCTCCTATAGCATGCCCATAGTCTCTGACCAACTCCTATAGCATGCCCATAGTCTTTGACCATCTCCTATAGCATGCCCATGAACTCTGTCCATCTCCTATAGCATGCCCATAGTCTCTGACCAACTCCTATAGCATGCCCATAGTCTTTGACCATCTCCTATAGCATGCCCATGAACTCTGTCCATCTCCTATAGCATGCCCATAGTCTCTGACCAACTCCTATAGCATGCCCATAGTCTTTGACCATCTCCTATAGCATGCCCATGAACTCTGTCCATCTCCTATAGCATGCCCATAGTCTCTGACCATCTCCTATAGCATGCCCATAGTCTCTGACCATCTCCTATAGCATGTCTGTATTCCCAGTATGACAGGTGCATGGAGTATGCAATCTCCATAGCAATGGACAATGTGCAGTGCATGTCAGGATTATGACAAGCAGTTGTGTGGCAGCCAATATCTATCTTAATAGGGGACAGGTAAGTATAAGGCTGTGAGGGGGGCTGGGGACTGGGGGGGGCCCTACAGATCCTTCCGTGCAGCCTGTCCCACTGGTTGTATAGCGCATAGTTGCTACTCACATTCCCACACATCAGAGACTCACATATACACCTCATGACCTGACTGTCACGTTACACATGTAGCCGTGACATTTAAAGGTTACCTAGGCTTTACATAGCTGTCATCCCCCATTGACATACATGCCAAAAGAAGTATCAATATGCAAGTTCCTATAGCAACATCAGAAGCAACCCCTATGACATCAGCGGCCAAAGAGATTGTGGAATGAGCGCTATTGGAGGACAGGTATGCTTTACAATCTATCGGGACCCCCCATGCGGTTATATCACATGGGCAACCGGGGATCAACGATGGCAAAACATTCACCGGAAAATGAAAAGGAAGAGTTGGGTCTCTATGTGCAATGTGAACTGTCTTCTCTGGTTAAATATTCCGGTATTCAGATTTAGACGTGTCTTGGGGTGGCCACCTTTTCTTCAAGTGAAACCTGAACACCCATATACAGAGTGGGGAGAGACATCCAAGAGAGAGGAAAGACAGCCAGGAGAGAGAGAGAGGAGAGACAGCCAGGAGAGACAACCAAGGGAGAGGGGAGAGACAGTCAGGAGAGAGAGAGGAGAGACAGCCAGGAGAGAGAGAGGAGAGACAGCCAGGAGAGAGGAGAGACAGCCAGGAGAGAGAGAGAGGAGAGACAGCCAGGAGAGAGAAGAGACAGCCAGTAGAGAGAGAGGAGGGACAGCCAGGAGAGACAACCAAGGGAGAGAGGAGAGACAACCAAGGGAGAGAGTAGAGACAGCCAGGAGAGAGCGAGGAGAAACAGCCAGGAGAGAAAGCGAGGAGAGACAGCCAGGAGAGAGAGTGAGGAGAGACAGTCAGGAGAGAGAGCGAGGAGAGACAGTCAGGAGAGAGAGTGAGGAGAGACAGTCAGAAGAGAGAGCAAGGAGGGACAACCAGGGGAGAGAGTGAGGAGAGACAGCCAGAAGAGAAAGCGAGGAGAGACAACCAAGAGAGAGAGTGAGGAGAGACAGTCAGGAGAGAGAGTGAGGAGAGACAGTCAGAAGAGAGAGCAAGGAGAGACAACCAGGGGAGAGAGTGAGGAGAGACAGCCAGAAGAGAGAGCGAGGAGAGACAGTGAGGAGAGCCAGCCAGGAGAGAGAGCGAGGAGAGACAGCCAGGAGAGAGAGAGGAGAGACAGCCAGGAGGAAGGAGAGACAGCCAGGAGAAAGAGTGAGGAGAGATAGCCAGGAGAGAGAGTGAGGAGAGCCAGCAAGGAGAGAGAGCGAGGAGAGACAGCCAGGAGAGAGAGAGGAGAGACAGCCAGGAGGAAGGAGAGACAGCCAGGAGAAAGAGTGAGGAGAGATAGCCAGGAGAGAGAGAGAGAAGAGACAGCCACTGAAGAACTTGGTAAATGGGCCAAAGTAGAAACTGTCTTTCATAATTTCATC